ATTGAGGCCATTATCTCATCAAAGTGATTCCTTCTCATTACATTTGAGGTTGCTTCATTGTAGACATCAGGGTTGTATGACCAAGACGTGCCGCTGCAGCACAGAACTGTGAACCCCATAGAAAGTCAGCAACTCATCCATGTTCAAATTGGTTTGCACCTTATAGGTATTTGACATAATGAATAATTATTATTCAATTAGCTGACAGTTTTATCCAAAACTACTTTCAATTGCAGTTATTGACATCTAGCAGGAGTATAATTCTCAAAATATATCAGTAGAAGACCCTAAAAACAATATATGTACAAAACATGATAATTCTATCTATTAATTAAGGTATTCAACTTACTTCTTTTTGTAGTAGTCATAGGACGACATCTACTTCGAGATGTGCAAACGGGAAGTAAACTAATCTGGTCATGTGACCTTTCACACTAGTCGCATGATATTGAAACATTTTAATCAAGACAATGTATTTTTTTCATTTAAAAGTTGAATTTCTTGCCCAGAGCCAACAATACAACTGTTAGAGCTTCAGAAATAAAATAAAAAGACGTGGCCACAATTGTGACTGGTGTTATTACTAGTTTCCACTATCAACAGCACCTCTGTCTTTATTTCATCAATGCGTTTCAGTGCCGGGCCTTCATCAAGGACATTTTCTATAAAGATGGCAGGTTGGTGTAGCAGCAACAGCACTTAACACACCTACATATTGCTCAGAAGCTGCCTGAAGACACAGGAAGGTTAAGAGGTGACCTTGATTATGTAGACGCAGTTTGAAGTTGGCTCGTTGGCACTCACATGGATATATATACTGTAATGTATCTAATTGAATTCAAAAGGGAGAGAAATTATAAACAAGAAAAAAAAAGAGATGGGGAGATCTGGCCTCAAATAAAACAGAAAAGATAAAGGTGGAGCTGTGGGGAACAATTACTTTGTCATACATTTATGAATCCACTATATGGCCCGGTCCCATTTAGCCATTACCCTCTGTCTCCATTTGTGTTTCTGAAACCAACCTCAGCATCATCCAATGCAAAATCAATACAACATGATTGAACAGATAAAGCGAAAACAAACAAAACAGATGCAGTTGTTGAATCGCTGGCCTCAAAAACCTCAATAGACGATAAAGTTGCTGTTTGGGGAAAAAAAAAACCCCACAAAGGCGCAGGAATAAGTGAGAGGGGGAAGGTGGAGCTTGGCATTGTGTGTTTACATCACAGTGGAAGAGTGCACAAACTGAGTGTTACCAAGAGAGTTCAGGCGACGGAGGAACAGATGAGACTGTACAAACACACGTGACCCTGCTAGTGCTGTCAGCTGTCCCAGTTGCTGCTGGGCCATGAGTGTGTGTGCATGCACATGTGTTTTTGGTGCGTAAAGATTTGTGTTCCAGATGCACAGCTTGTTGTTGCACAGCTGCCTGCACACATACACACAGTCCTCACAGTCTAGAGGTCATACATAAATAATATTTGCATTCTCTCTCCATTTTTGTTGATTTCTGTGTTGCTCAATGTGAACGCTTGAGGCAAAAGCGACACGTGCTGACTCCATAACTGAGGATTTCACTGGCTCTGTAAGCTCATTGCAACATGCCACACAGCATCAGGTTTTGGTATCTTGCCAACAGCCATAGGCACAAATGGACTGACCACAATAGTAAAAAAGCTCTTATAAAACACAATTACAATATGTAGGACATTTTATTAATTACAAAACTATTGAGTGAGCACTGAACTAATTCGAGCTATAATCAATGTAGATTTGAGAGCACACTGGAACACATTTGGAAGCGTCAAACAAGTCTTAAGCACAAAATCCTGATTTTGTGTGCCCTTAATTCAGCATGTGCTCTTATAATTTTCCCCAGCAGCAGGCTAAGCTTTTAGGAACTTACGAGGCTTGGTAAGAAAATAATTTCTGGAAAGGCTTTATAAAGACATGTCTATATGCTGTGCTTTTTAAACTCATATCTATGAATTTTACAGTATGTCTGGGGACAAATGACAAAGACAATGAGACTGAGGGTGGGGTCACACCAGAAAGTTATGTTACTTTCTTCATGAGATGTAGTGACTACTAGAGCCCAACTGATATGGATTTTTTAAGACCGATTTTAATATTTGAGGATTTTAAAATCCGATACTTTTTTCTTCTTTTAAGAAACACATAAAAATTGTTACATGTGAGAGCTCACCAAGATAACATGACATAATGCAGTTTAAAAATAATCTGTTTTTGTTGTTATAAATAGTACTTTGACACAAAAGTATGGCTGATTATGTCAGCTGATTGCTGTGTTTTTCCAATAGGGGAGTTGCAGAGTGCCCTCTGGTGGACAAACTATGTAATTACAACACTCATAACATGATTAAAGGATCCATCCTTCTTTGTATATTTTGTAAATACTGATTTATCATCAATTAGTTCATATTAGTCGGCTCTATTGACTGCTCACAGGGCTAGTTGATGAACTTCAGCAGCTGGTGAACTAACTAACTCATAACCCCCTAGCACATGACAGAACATGCTAATGTTAGTCAGTCAGAATTGCCTCTTTCAGTCTTCTCTGTTCTGGAACGTTGTTTTAAATGCTGGTGTGACTGGGCTTTAATACTTTACATCCAGGTCACATCCATTGGATTTTACTTGCTTTACAAGGGGTGCAAACTAACCAAACTAAAAATGTGCAACAGTACACCAAGCAAACAAGGTCCTGCTTCTTCACTCCTTGTGACGACATTTCCCTTGCAGGTTCAAAACAACTGTTAAAATCAGTTCTGTCCCTGCTAACTCTCAGAACTTGTTCTGTGCTTATAAATCTGTGCCTGCTTACTCAAATCTTGACTTGAAGACTGATTTCCATTTAAATGCGTTTTATGCCCTTTCAATTGTTTTGCCATTAATGAACTTCCACACACACAAGCAGCAATGTTTAGCCTCAGAGCCTTTTAATGTTTTTGTCTCCTATTGCTATTTGTTGGTTTTTTGGCCTTTCCCTCAGTTTCACATCACAACGTATTTTGCTTTTCGCCAAGCTTTTACTAAGTAAGAATTGTTTCTAAACTGACTTGCCTGATTAAAACAGTCTCCCACACAAAAATAAACATGCATTACTAAATGGTTGGATTTTGAAAAAGGTAGTGGGGGAAAATCCATTTAATGAGTGGTGAGGTGATGCTGGATGAAAATATCCTCCTTTTCTGTCTTTTTAAAAATATTTTTCCTCTCTTTCAGTCATTTTGTCTGTCTTATTTATCTCGCTGTTGTCTGTAGCCTCTTTAGTTGACATTTCCTCTTTTTAGGTGTACCATTTAGGTGTCTCTAATTTGCTTTTGCTGGCTTGGATGGACACCTCTCTCCTCTCCTCCATTATTCTGCTTAGTCCTACTGTAAATCATAGCACTCAGCTCCATATTGCTCTGTGTCTGTCTGTTTCTTTTCCTCTCATTTCCTTTACCATTTTGTCTTCACTCCCAACTGCTTTTTATTCCCATTCCTCTGATCTGTCCAGATGTTTCCGTCCCTTCTACACTGTATCCTTCACTGGTCTACACCTCTCCACCGTGCTTCATGGATCACTGCAAGAAAAACCTGGCTAGGGGAGCAGCAGCTGCCCAATTTGCTCATTTGAGACAATCAATGATAATAACACTGAGGGACTACCAATATGTCCAAGAGATTACATGGACACACACAAACACAAAGGCGCACACACATTCTCCAGTCCTGCTAATTGTTGGCTATTAGTCTGCAAGTCTGGGATTGCATGTCTTATTAAATACAGAATTTCAAATGAGCTTCGTTAAATAAGAAAGTACTCCCCTTTTAATGAAGCTAATTTATATGGAAATTACACATAATACTGACGATTCAGCCAGAGATTTATCCTCATTGGATGAAGGGGAGGAATTATAGAAGAAAAAAGAGCGGGATTGTGATTTTTTCCCCCCCTCCTTGTGTTAGCAGGACTCTGGTGTTGGACTCTCTCTGCAAGTTTGCTTTTGAAGCACACCCTCAGAGGGTTCAGGTCATGTATGTTTGGGCTGGGGATACAGCCGTCAGTGTTCATGTGTGTGATGGAGAGCGTGTGTGTGAACTTCTGTCCTTCTGCGGACCCTGGCGAGCTCCAGCCTATCTCTCTGGTTCCCACTGATCCATCATGCTGTGTGATTGCCAGGGAAAACCCATTACTCTGAAATAACACAACACATTAGCAGGGAGATGCAGGTGTCTCTTCTCTGCGTTGTGCTCGTTCCTCAACATCCATAGATGCAGATGTCATGTTTACAGTGCCCTACCAGTCAAACTGCACAACAGTGGAGCCAAGGCGGAGGTCTCCCATCTGATAAATATACTGTCACATTTGGATAAACACAAAATGCAGCCCGTTATTTGCTTCATTTTGTTGGTTGACATCATACTAAAGTCTACCAGGGAGTGCTGAGCTGTGGTAAGACAATGTTTCTGTCTTTCTCACTCTGACTAGTGATTTATTAATGCAGGTCTGTATGCAGCTATGCCCCTGCAGACTGCTTCTGTCCCTCAGGCAAAAAGCTCAGTATTGCCCCCTGGTGGTAATTACCCAAGAAGTTGGATTTGGCCAATGTTTCCTCACGTCTCCTGACACTATCCCCACAGGGTAGTATAAATGAAAAATGTTATAAATCAAGTAGGTCTCCAAATATATCCTTAAGTGAAATAGGTGGGAAGTAATGTAATGGGCAGGAGGTGAGAGCCACACCAATATATTGTGCGTATCCCTGCTTTATGAATGACATTTTCACTGCTGGTTCACCTCAGAAGGGGATAATTATCTACAGCTCTCACAATATACTGTGCACTTTGAAACTGCAATGTTTTTTTTTCATGGGGTTTCCATGGAGACAGTTCTACTACTACTACTACTACTACTACTACTACTACTACTACTTTGGGCTGTATGTAAAAAAACAAACAAACAAACAAAAAAACATTCAGCACATTTGTGTAATGAATAAAAGCTTTATTCAAACATGAAATAAAAAAATAGTGACAAAGAAATGATCAGAACTCACAAAAATTTGCATAAATATATACGTCAGAGCAGTTCAGAGACAACATATTTGAAAAGGAAATATTCCGCAACATCTATTAAACAAGCAAGAAAATAAACACAAATCAAGGACAATGCAGAATTAATTAATAGAATACAATAATGTAAATGTAAATAAAAATGTCTCTGCTGTGCAGGTTTAAAAAACAAAACTGATCTCATGATCAAATATTAACGATTGTTGCCACCTAGAGGATGCTCATACAGTTAAATCATTGCAGTCTATTTTTTTTTTTTTTAAGTTTTCAACAATTACAAAATGCACACAGGTTTAATTCCAATTTGTAAATCATTGAGAATCAATGCAGAAACAGCCCACGTGAGCAGTGTTATGGTGCTCTGACATAATGCATATTATGCAAAAAAAGTGCATTCCTGTGGTATTATACAGGCTATTGTGTCTCAAAGCGAGGGGGCCGCAAACTGCAGAGGGGCTCATGTTTCAGACACTAAAGGTCCGCTAATTGTTGTACAGTATGACATCTGATGAGCAAGAAAAAGCCTCCAGATGGTTTGTAGTTTGTTCGTTCTACATCTGGGCCTGTAATCACGAGTACTGAAAAAACACCTGCAGGACTGGAACAAATAAAACACTATACCAACCATTTACTCCTCTGATCATATATATATATATATATATATATATATATATATATATATATATATATATATATATATATGATGTGATAATGACTAGTGTCAGTATGACGGTGTATTTCACTATCATAAAACATTTAGTTGTGAAAGCTGCAGTGTACACCTGCAGCATAGTGTTAACTGAGCACTGTTATACAATTGAGTTCACTTTGCTCTAATAAGGCCATGAAGTTAAATAAACCATTAGGCTAAGTACATTTTTACACTCATACCACAATGTATACCCACGCTAACAGTTCAACAAGCTTCATTCTTATATAAAAACAATTCATATCAATATGGATGCAAAACAAATATTCACACGTGTGTACTGAACAACAGTGAATTTCAACAGTTTCCCCTCTATAAAAATAGCTTAAAAATCTGACACATATTTTAGTACAGTGTAGGGTTAAGTCTGTTTTCTCTTTTACATCTGAGATACTTTAATAACAGGCTGGTACATACGTCCTCTGCTCCTCCTTCCCTCCTATGACACTGCCATGCACAGACATAGGGCTTTAAAGACCACCAAAGTCCCAATAAGGAGCGCTAAAGGGAGCAAAAATGAATGGCATCTTCATCTCCTCCCTGCTCTAGACTAAAGACTCCAAACTCCAACTGTCTGCAGACAAGTAGTAGTCTTTTCTGTACAGAGCTTCACATGCACAGTGGTTTAGTAGTAGAGCAGGACTTGGTCCTTGAGAGGAAAGAGCATGGCCAACAGTACAATACGTGCGCTCCGTAGCAATGTCAGGATCATTGAAAAGGTGAAGCAGGAAGGACAGAACATGCCACATTTGGCAAACAGAAATCACAGATTCTCTCTCACACACGAAAGGGCATCTGAGGGGCAGAGACATTGAACACATAAGCATTTAGTAACCAATAACTCATGGAACACACACCTATCCACAACACATAAGCATGTTGGGAGTTGATACGGGTCCAACCAAAGCAAAACTAACAAACAGAATATGATTGTGAATTGTAACAAACAGGGCAGGAGTCAATGAACAGATTGTCACATTTCATGCTCTGCACGCAGGCAATATTTTTTTTTTTCCACGAGACAAGCAATAAACATCGTTGTCATCACCATCATCATCCTCAACATTCACGCCCAGTTAATTCACATACACAGTAGGCAAAACAATACTGTACATACACACAAAAACACACACAAGTAAATGCAGACATACAAACACATCCACTTACAAACACACCTCCCATTGCACCATGGGATGTAACTTATAGTGTTAAGTGGTGAACAGCTTGTCCCCTGATACCCAAGATTTAAAAAAAGCAAACAGAGAAGGCAAACAGAACGCAACACAACAAGAACGAGTGATACAAACCACTGACATTATAAGGACACTTGAAGAAAGATTGTATTGTTTGGATTAACTAAACGCAGTTGCTATGTACCGCTGTGTTTGCTGGTTATAGCTTGTCAAAGCATATAAAATCATAACTATCTGTAGTATATGGCAAAAATAAATAACTCAAACCTCTTGCAGCAGTTGTAAAAAGGCCACTGAATGCTTGTGTGTGTGTGTGTGTGTGTGTGTGTGTGTGTGTGTGTGTGTGTGTGTGTGTGTGTGTGTGTGAGAGAGAGAGAGATATGCAAACTCAACAGCACAGGTAGAAACTAGCCATAAAGCCTTTAGCCTTGAACCATCATGCATTGACATTGCCATATAAAAGACTGAATCGCAGCCTCAAACACAGTTTTCTTGCTCAAGTTTCCAATCATGCCATTATAAAGATTTAACTGTAGGCATACAGTAAAGCATCACAGGTTACAGTACAGCTTCCTCTTGGTAAGTCACCTAACCTGGATGAGTGCCCTGCAACAGGGTGAAGCTGATTACCAGGCTAGAGATAAAAAAAACAAACAAAAATACAAAGTGTGCCTCAATCCTGTAACATGTTGGATTTCAAAGGCAGAGGCTGTCAAATAATGGCAGTAAATGATAAAGGAGTTAAGCACAAACTTCAGTTTTCTGGCTGCAGCTATGCCAAATACCTAAATAGCACAAATATTCCTCTGGAGCTATTCATTTAGGATATTTTCCTGACAACAGTAGAATATCAAAGTGCTAAGAAAGGCTTTATTTTGGGACTTGAGCCAGTGGCCAGCATTATGAGTTTAAATGAATAAGGCCCAAACTTAGAATAACACCCTGTACAGTTAATCTGTACACTAACACTATATATTCAGTTGCCCTGAAGTCAAAATTTGCTTTTTAAAAGCAACTGTGATGTTAACTGATTCCATGTCAAATTACTCAGAGCAACTCAGTTTACAAGTCCCTGGCGAGAGATCGTAGTTTTACACAAAAGGACACTTTGAAGAGCTAAATCTATCCCGTTAAAGCATCAAAACCAGCAATGTCCTGCCAACGTTCCATCTGCAGACAGCCCAAATTAATTATAAACATTTCTCGCAGACAGTAACACTGAACTGTTTTTTAAAATGGAGTTTCAACCCCAAAGGGACAGTTATGTAAGGTTTCTTAGTGCGCTTTAACATTTGTTGTGGAGAGCAGTAGACAAAATTTTAAGTTGTGTAAAGACATAATGACACATTGTCAGAACTCTCTCACTCAGTTTCCCCCCGTCCCCAATTCTTCCATCATCTCTATGAAGCTTTGGCTTTTCTTGCCCGTGGTGATGTTTTATCGTCAGACTTCACAACCCCATTGGCAGCACCTCCTGACAAGATAGGTGAATAGAAACATTCCTGATGAAAGCGATTTCAGACATACACGTTCAACAATCAGCAATATTGGAAAATAATGGCAAACATCAAGGTGTGAGACATAAACCGGAAACACAGGATTACATTATGTCAATTTGGATGAGTGACCAGATGCTGAGGTTCTTGAATACTCACCCCTTGTAGGCTCTCTTTTGTGAGGCTTGCTCTTTGGGCTGACTGTCTTCTTCTTTGAAGCCTGGTTCTGGCTGTGTTCCCTCCACTTTTTCAACTGGAAGTTAATGAATTTCCACATCATCCAAGCCTGCGTCAGGCAGATAGCTGCCAGACAAGTCATCCTGAGGGGCGGGAAGGACAAATTTGATGTTGTTATTTAACTTGTGAACAGGAAAACAGAACTTTGGCCATTTTGAAGTTTAATGTTATGAGTAAACTGGCTAAGGTAGGACATTAAGGGCTCTGATTGTTAATTGGCATCTGGACTTGCCTTATGGTGAGAACATTGAAGTTGCCTTCTGCTAGGGAAAAGCCCTGGTTTTCTGTACGGGGCAGCCCAAAGCCAAACGTCAGAACTGAGAGTGTGAGGGTGAGGAGGCGGGCGATGACAAAAAGCAGCGCCCACAGAGTAAAACTGTAAATGGAAAAAAACAAAAAACCCAAAATATATATATATATATCAGACATTGCATCAGGTTGTTCTGATCAAGAACCAACTTGTTTATCACACGAAGCAATACCCCTTCTGCTTGTTCTCATCACTGAAGTAGAAGAGGCGTGAAGCATGGAACAGGAGCTCCACCAGGTAGTGTGGGACCAGCAACACCAGGCCCAGTCGGTGGAGGCTAAATAGACGGGACACAGAGAGAGGACAAACCAGGACATGAAAGAAAAAAAGTCAACTAGCGGAGAACTGGAGACACTGAACACAATCAACAATATATAATATATATTATAGAACACGGCTGTAAACCAGGGGATATAACAAGTCTTAGTGGAAAGGGGATGAGCAAATGGAAGAGACTATTTAAAAAAAAAAAAAAAAAAAAAAAAGAAAACAGGCAGGGCTCACAGGTCAAAGTACAGTATGAAACATTATCATTTCAATTCCCAATACAGAGCAAAAATCAGCTGACCTTGCTTAGAGTTAGATGTGACTTGTAAGATGAAAGACGAGTTTTATGGGGTTGTGTAAGGACAATAAAGGAAAGTCAAATCATCTGATGAGCTAAGTAGCTACTCACAGCCCATCACACAAAAAAAGAAAAAGAAAAAACATTCTCTCCATAAACTCATAATCATAGATACGGTGAGGCAGTGGTCAGGTAGGCCGTCTGAGTTGTTAATCGCAGAAAGATAATTTTACTTTTACACTTAATAGCAAAAAGTACCACTGCTTTACACAGTAAAAGGTTTAAACCATCTTATCAGGCACTGGTTTGAAACATTCTCAGTCATCATTAGGGTGAATGAGATCTTTATGCGAGATATACCTAGAATATGCTTCTTGAGAATGTTCTTTATTTCATCCTCAGAGGATACGCTCACAAAAATGAGTCATTTCACTCACTTTAAGACATAGGCACCAGTGATGTGGACAACGTAAAGGCAAATGTAATAGAGCTGGCGGGGGATGTCCTCCTGTAGAAACAAAACAGAGGAGGAGAGATTTTGCGTTAGAAACAGCAGCAGCTCTACAACAGCAACATCATCTACCACAATCTGTACAGTCTGCTTGAAAGGTATCCGGATGACAAAACATTTTTCACGTAGGTATAGTGTAGATTTTAGTGCTTTTATTTACTGTATAGCGCAACATTCTTGAGGAGCAATGAAATCCTCTAAAGTCTGCAACCATTAAAACACAGCCAGGACTCATTAAGCACCTTTTATCTTTGATGCTATGATACATTTTTTATGCAAATTAATCCTTGACATGGACTTGGCTCTAATTTACTCTGAAATAATGTATGTACACAATACATTTCAACAAGATAGCATACACACAAATGCATTATTCAACAAACATAACATCAAATGCTTTTTCAAAAGATTTGAAAAAGGGGCAATGATAAGTGAAAGTGTCTTCATGCTAATTCCACAGAGGAAAAAAAAAAGGAAAAATCTTTTTTCTTGTCCTCAAGTACTGCAACAGATATGTCACTGTTTAATGTATTCCTAGCCCCTGTATGCTCCATACTGCACATCTGCGTAGCCCTCAGCTGATTCCTCATGAAGACACATGAAAACGCCAGCGGGTATTAGCAGTGGGTTAGAGGGGGGACTGAGGTATAAACACCACTGCACTCATCATAGATCACGACTGCAGAAAACCTTGATGATAAGTAGTGAAATTAATTTTAGCATAGCGCTTCTTCGCCACTTCTCATCTGTTATATGGTTAGTGTGGCTGTGAAATCCAAATTGACAGCTCTTCCTTTCACTTGAGCCAATGTGCCACCTCACATCTGCAATGCAAGACTTATTTACATAAATTAGCTGCTGTTCTGCTAATCAGGGCAACATACAAAAATGTAAACATTTTTCCCAAACTACGTCATAATAATTTTTAAGAAATTACCCTTACCTTCCGTACTTTTTGAAAGTACAGCTCAGGAAGTGCATGGAGCCAATAGGCAATTTGGCAAATGTAGAAGAACTTGACCTGAAAACTAGGACAGAGGACAGGTTGTGCAGAGGTAAGAACCTGGGTGTTTTGTTGGACAGAAGTTACATATTAATATACAATTCATCATGTTGTGCATGGTGCACTGTTCTGTAAGTTCTATTTAAAATCCAGTGGCATGCACAACAACTCAAACCAAACTTCTAAATGAAAATACTTTTAGTGTTTAGTGAATTTAGTGTTTCTTTTCAGGACAGAATACACTAAAATATGGGTTTATGATGTGTAGGGGTCTATAAATCTTTACTTACACCATGTGAGTGTGTGGGTAACCCTCCCATAAGAAAGTAGGATTTGTTGCAAAGTCCTCCTGTCAGAGAAAAAGAGACACCGCATAAGATAAAGCCTAATGAAGGCTGGGATGGCATGTTTCTGTGACTCCTGGAGCTCTGTACCGCTGTCAGGATGCTGCAGCCCCATATGAAGGAGAACAGGTAGAAAGCCGCGAGCTGTCCGGACTCATTGAACTTGCTGTGTTTGGTTTTTGACAGGTGCAACCTCCTGTTCATTTTCTGAAATAAATAACAAAATAATTAGAAAAGGTTATACATTAATATATCAAATGCTGATATCAGTGACATTTAGATTCTTTCTTTTTATTGTAAAAGTATTTGTGTGTATATGACACGGCCTGTAGTTATAACTGTCAGCAGCTCTAACATATATGGTAATCAGTATAAGTACAGTAGCTGTGCAAGTTTTCCACATTTTCCTTCTTGCACAAATGTTGCAGTCTTAGGCCTTTGACCCCAAGTCTTTGTCCAACTCTGTTCCAACTCAGGACGTAGAGCATGCCGTCTTTTAATCATGGGGTCCTCCACTCCACATGTCAGTGTGCTTGGGCAAGACACCAAACCCCAAATGTTTGTGTAAAAACAGGAAGGAATAATACAGCAAAACCTGTTTCAATGTACCTGTTTTCAGACACACATGAAAAAGAGTCATTTGAAAGAGACATATACTTTTAAAGAATCGTGTTCAATGCGATCCACAAAAAGATTTTTATTTTTGGAAAAAATATATATAATTTTTTTTTCTATTAATAGTATCCCACAGGGAATTGACGTCAAAGACAGACAATGTCAGGAGAAACAGGAGCATTGTTTCAGTCCTTACGCTGTAGCTCACATGCAGGGAGGATTGGACCTGATTACCTACAAATGGCTCACCAAAACTTAATCACGGACCAGAACAGAGCAGACACATGAGGCATTATTTGATACTGTTGAAATGAAAAAACTAAACAATTGCAGTGAGTACACAGGCGGAGAGATTCTGCACAACTTCTGTTACCCTCATAATAACATGTTTATACACAAAAATGAAAAGTCAAAACAATAAGCCACTGTGTGCAAACAACAACAACAAACACTGTGAGCCAAAACAATGGCTACTGAGTTTGGACGCTGATGTACTCACGTCAAGAATATATTCTTGTATCAAGGCATGAAGGATGACTGCAATAAGCAGGTAGAAAAACACAGTGGCCATATCTTTAGGGCCATACTGGTACAGGTTCACTGACTCAATCTTTTCATCTGCAAAAAAAGGAAAATAAATGCAATGTTAAAATCTTAAATTCTAAACATCAACTAAAGAGCCAGAATAAACAAACAACGAATTTTCAAGGAATTGCAGTAAACTGAAATGATCACGGGTCCTATAAATTTTAGCTCACCAAGAACTTGTGTTACGTTGTACTGGACTGTGATGAACATGATGGCAAACTTTGCTGTGACCTGGAACACAAAGAAACAAACAGGATTACTGGTCTGATTCTGAGGCAGAGGAAAGGTAAAGGCATAAACAGAATGTCGTACAGACTGCATTCACGTTTTACTCGTTGAGTATCAAACTGTTAAACAATTGTGAAAAATTTAATCATCATTTCATGCACATTTGTAATGAATGAGGACTGCTGTGTCACTGCAAGACTCTGAAACCACTGACTTCCATAACTGGGGTCTGGGGACCTCCAGGGGCTGCCTGGAAGGGCTCCCAGGTGTCTCTGGCAAAATGAGGTATATTTTAAGTTCACTTCCATTGCTACAATGACTCTCATTGTGTCTGGTGGACTGTGAATTTTCACTTTCTCCGGAGTTCAGGCATTGGTAACTATGTACTAAGCAATAACTCATCTTCAAACAATCTTATTAGTTTTCACAATATGTTCGGCTTGGTGGCTGGGTTTGGGTGGGGACAAGTTAGTGAGGGGGACGCTATCTTGTTTCATTCAAATATGGCTAGGTACGAGCTACAGTCGAACCACACCAAATGTGTAGCATACAGACTGACGTTTAACGTTAGCCTGGCTAGCTTGTTGCCAACGGCCAGCTACATGTATTGGTTTGCCATTGAGACAATGGATTAATTAGCCGACTGGTAAAATGACCTGTTAGCTCTGCCACTGGGCCTTCTCGCCATCTTCTTTGGCAATCAGTGAGACACATGAGAAGGGAAGGAGAAAGACACGCTAGCGCCCAGCCCCTGAGTGCTCCTGTCATGTCAGCTAACGATAGTTTTCAGCCGCTAACATCACTCAGCTAACCACAGCTCCTGCGCCTTTCCTGTGCAATCACACAGTACCTCGAACATCAGGCCGAGGAGGATTATCATGGCCAAACACGAAACCATGTCTGCGTGATTCTGGATCACAAACTCGTGGCTCAGCACCGGCGGGCTCTTGTTCTTCTTGCGGAAACCCATGGCTCACGGACGCGGCTCTCCCCCTCTCTGGTTCCTTAGCTGCCGTTACGGAGTCTAGCTGGGCTGGAGCTAGCTTTCCCCCGCTGAACGTCTCAACTGATGGGTATTTGCTCTAGTCTGGGCTGATCGCTCCACCGCAGTCCGTAACTTAAGCACAGTGAAGCCGCTGCTCGTGTGTTTAAAAACAGTCATGAAGATGCACCGTTTCCCAAACACTACACCAAAACACCCACTTCTCCCCGCCCCCCTGCCTGGTAAGTCAGCTGACGGTCCCTCCCACTTCAAAACCCCATTCATGGTTCGCCCAGTGTCCCTGACGTAGAAGGAGAACCCAGGCCCGTGGTACCTTCACGTACTCCACGTAAGGGCCCAGTTTGCAATAGGACAGATGTAGGATAGTTTAATTCTAGTTTTAATGCATAATTAATATGTTAGATTTTAGCACATACTAATAGATCCGTATGAAAATGGTACTCTATATCATAACAGCACGGCTGGATTAGTAACAGGGAGAGGCGGGCAATTGCCACACACCCCAAGAACCCCAGGATTGTGGTAATTCACACCATGAAAGTACAATATAATCTGATGGACGTCCTGCATTACCCACTTTTATGAGCCTGTAGATGACCCCAAACTCTAGTTTTAAGACCTTATTATCACTTTATACTTTTGTGTAGCCTACTTATCTAATTTATTCTGTGCTCACAAGGTACATATTACAGAATGACATAGTCCATCTATATCATCACCAGTCAGTCACATGGCTGGGGCTGACATATAGATGATCACAGTCACACCTACAGGCACATCTTCTGTGTACACTTACACAAAGTCAGGGATGTTGCAGGCATCAGGTGTATGATTAAACAATTATACCAAACAGGTGCTAATAACCACCAATTCAATATGTAGGTTGAAACACAATCATTAACTGAAACAGAAACAGCTGGGTAAGAGAAAAACAACTGGGTGAGGAACAACCAAACTCAGCTAACAAGGTGAGATTGCTGAAGACAGTTTGTTGTCAGAAAACATACATTTAGGCAACAATGAGTACAGCAAAAAGACACAAGGTGGTTATATACTGCATCAGCAAGGTCTCTCCCAGTCAGGAATTTCAAGGCAGACAGGGGTTTCAGATGTGCTGTCCAAGCTGTTTTGTAGAAGCACAAAAAACAATCAACGCTGAGGACTGTAGACGCAGTAGTTAGCCAAAGAAACTTACTGCAGCAAATGAAAGACACATCATTTACCTCCCTTCGCAATTGGAAGATGTCCAGCAGTGCCATCAGCTGGAGCAGAGTGGAGGTTCTCTGCAAGTCTGGGGGTGCATTTATGCAAATAGAGTTGGGGATAATGGCCTTCTCAATGCTGAGAGGTAGAGGCAGATCATTATTCATCATGCAATACCATTAGGGAGGCATCTGATTGGCCCCAAACTTATTCTGGAGAATGACAAGAACCCCAAACAACCAGCAAAAATCTTTGACTTAAAGAAGACCAAGGAGACCTGGAAGTGATGGTTTGGCCCTCACAGATCCCTGATCTCATTATCATCAAGTCTGTCTGAGATTACACGAAGAGAGTGAAATAACTGAGGCTGTTCTCCAAGATGTTTGGGCCAATCTACATGCCTATTTCCTAAAGGCCTACATAACGACTTTTTTGTTCATCACTAACACACTAGACATTATTCAAAGCTAGTGGGGACAAAATATTGGAAATAGAACACAATTACTACTTTCTTTTGGGTATTTATTTCACTTGCCTGTGGCTTATTAATTTATTTTGAAAAAAGTGACCGGAAGTTGCAATTTTCTCTGCTTGGCTTTCCCGTTGAAAGTGTAGGAAATACGTGTTGTCACCCTTTTATATACAGTCTATGGTTATCACAGTGGCTTTAAAGCGTTGTTTTACAGATTTTATGGAGGAAACCAACAGTAAGGTAACTTTATGCTAACGATGGCGTTGACACATTATCCCATCATTGCTGTGATGATAAATTAAACGTTAACGTTACCGAACGTCAGCTAACATTTTTACTGCCTTCACCATTGGCTTAACGTTAATTGACATTAACTTGATTGAGATTTTCTTTGAGGCATTAGAGGCGCTCTTAACCATCTAAAGAAAGAAAGCTTTTGTAAAAAAAAAACGCTAGCAACAGCTAGTCATGTTAATGAATTCTTTTAATGGTGGCGCATAGATAAGATGCTTGCCTTTGGTGTGGGAGACCTGGGTTCAATTCTCACTGTGAGACATCCATTGTTGTGTTTCAGAGGAAGATACTTATCCCCTAGTTCTCAGCCCGTGCGACCTCTAACATGTATAGCAATTATAAGTCGCTTTGGATAAAAGCGTCAGCAAAATGAATAAATGTAATGTAAAAAATACCATAAGCGCCTAACATAAGTCATTAAGCATGACCGATTCAATTGGTACCGTTCATTATTGTAACGTTACTCAACAAGTTGCAGCCGAGCTCAAAGAAAGATTCAGCTGACTCAAGTTGAATACAACACTTAACGTTAAGTTACTAATCTTTGACGCTAGAGGTCAGTATGAGACCGATCCGGGGCATCAGCTGCCTGGGATCATTTGCCAGATCATTTGAATTCAGCCAGTCCATCGCGTTGATATCCAGCAAGGACAGCCCAAATCCTTCCTCTTTCCATTCCTTACACATCAGTACAATGCAACTTCCCTTAATCAACAAAATTAATGCTTATAAATAGGGTAGACATAATAAATACTATTAGCGTACATGATTACGTAGCCCGGCTAGCTCAGTCGGTAGAGCATGAGACTCTTAATCTCAGGGTCGTGGGTTCGAGCCCCACGTTGGGCGCAGATATTTTCGCTTTCGTGGCTCCACTGCGCAAAACCTTTCTAACATAAAATTTAACACTGCTCAGTTTCTGTGGGAACACGGGAGTGTACTCAACAGCTGTGCAGTCTTGTCAATACTTTATTAATTTGCATTGTATTGAAGGATTTTTGCAATGTTTTGAAACCCCCTTTTCACATCTGTGAAGGAGTAATACTGGAAAAGCCTATCACTGTAATGCAGTCTCATATGGCCCGTCCACTGCTGAAAACAACACAGTGACCACAAAAACTGCAAACCATGTGTAGCATAAAATAACACTGTTATTGCTAAATTGTGTTGGTAGTAATGTAGTTGGTAATGGATGGATACTTAAAACATTTTCTCATATTTGGACACATCATTTATGTCTCTGGAGCAGTAAACAATATAATACAATCCAATCCTTACATATTGCCCGAGTTCAGTCGACAACTGATTCATTGTCAGCAAAATGAACATTTAAGTGTCTACCACATTGGGTGTATGGCAGGGTTATTAGGTCTATAGAGGAATTCATTACATTATGTCTTTATGGTCTTTATGTATAGAGTATTTTTCTGTGGTTGAATGTGAAAAATACAACATAAATGGGTGCTTTATCCTGCTGTGTTTAATTATTATTAATGTTACAGCACAAGCGTACAGCACAAACAAAGAAGAAACCCTACGCACACTGTATTCAAAGCTCCTTCAGTGTTTTTTAAATCACCTTTTAGTTTTAGTATTCCTTCTCACGGAGGAGGAGATGGGGAGATATATATTTTTGTTATATCCACTACATGGGCTTGTACAAATATTTTCATGTTTGGTTAACACTCCCTGGGCCATTAAATATCACGGTTATTACAGCAATATATATATAAAAAGGCATGATTCCTCAAAACCCTTGGTCTTTTCCCCTTTCTTTACAACACACCATAAAGGTGTTTTGACTGTGTAATTTCTCTTTTTAGCTGTCTAATTTTCTTCTTTTTTCTTCTTTTTGCAGACGGAATTGCTAAAATAGGTGAGAAGCTACAGTCTGTCTTTTCTCTGAAACAGCCAAGAGGGAGGGAGGAGTTTAAACAAAGGCCCTCTCCACATAAAAAAAATGGAGGCTTGTGCAGAGAAGCCATGGTGTTCTGCTCTTCACAGTCTACATGCTGCCATTTCTACTTCTAAAGCCTTCAAATAAGACAACTACCGCCAGATTCTACACTTGGAAGCTTAAAAACATTGTTATATGGGGTTTGTATGTCAAAAATACTCATACTAATAATGTTATTTTGTGGTTTTAGGCCTAGCTCTCTGCTTATTTTTCTTCCCCTGTCTCTGACACTCACAGTGCTGCCCCTGCCTGCACTGAACAAAGATAATTACTCAGGAAACATTTCGGCCAATCAGACGAGGCCTTGTATCCTGCCTGCGAGGAAAGCGACCAGTCAGGATCTGGCTAACATCACTGGGGCCTGATCGCCTTGCCTGAAGAGCGGAGCCTTCCCCGGCTGAGGGCTGAGAGTGTCCTCCATGTTTTATAAGTGTTGACATAACAGTGTGTCAGGCAGCCATGCATCCACAGAGGTAAGCTCTGTCTTTTTTATCTCAACTCTCTGATAACAACATGGCTTCCTTCTTGATGTTGTGGTGACTGTTGGTTTCTCACGATGAATGTGCACACCTTAAAATCAGTTTAGTATGTAGGGGGAGGAGGAGCTGGGGTGGATTGGAGGCCTCGCCAGGCCTCTCTGCTCCACAGTGCTGAGGAGGGTGGGGGGTTGGGTAACGACTCTCACCCTTGCTCTCTCTCTGTGTCTCAGGGTCACATGGGTGCCCCAGACAACCAGGCTGCCATACAGGAGGCAGAGTGGACCATGGCAAATCCTTTTCCTTTTTTTTATAATGCAAAAGAGAGTTGGATTTAAAAATGGCACCCACATCTCCTTTCTGTTGTGGCAGTCTTATGTTGTAGCCTGGCAGAGACAGAATGGGGGATGGGCAGGGGAGGAGGAGAGGGGGGTTTATATACCCTTTGTAAGTGGATTGGCTCTGTTCTGTTTTCTTGTGTGTCATGCCAGGCCGGGGAATAGATATGTGGGGGCAACAGATGTGCTTGTTAGGAGGACAAGGAGTAAAGGGCATAACTGTAACCGGTTTTCAATTTCATGTTTTTATACATGTAAAGTCAATAATTCAGAACCTGAAAACTGTATAACTTGTTACACATTTCAGTAAAGTGTACCAAGGATGGACTTTCTACACTCGATATTGGTCAGAGAAAGAGCCCACATGAAACAAACCTTTTGTCAAAGGGCGATCCTCTTCCAAGTCCTCCAGTTTTAGTCTTTAGAAATAGTATGTTGAAACCCAGTTTGCCTCTATTT